CTGATACGGTCCTTGAATCTACCTTAGGATCGACACCTACCTCAATCCCTCTTCAGACCAGAGGACCTGAAAACCATATGAATTTCCTAATTATCACCAATAAACTTAACGACTCAAATTTCCTCCAATGGTTTCAAGCTGTGTCATTATTTGTCAAAGGTCAATGTAAGTTGAACCATCTCACAAGCATGATTCATGAATCTCTGAAAACTGACCCAATATATACAAGATGGGAAGTGGAGAAATCCATGGTCATTTCATGGTTGATTAATTCCATCATCCCATGGAGACCTCGATTGGCAGTCATACCAATTTCTTCCTTCTGTGCTCTCTGGATTGCTGTTCTCGACACCTACTATGACGTAAGTAATTATGGAGAACTCTATGAGGTTTGTAAGAAGATCCGCGATGCGAAACAATGATTGAAGACGGTGACCCAATAATATAATGACTTATTTGCATTATGGATAAAATGTGATTTCTACTAATACTACACTTAATACTCTTTTCTAGATTTTTTTCTCTTCCAAATAATTTTAGAAAAGGATCGTGTGTTCTAATTCTTGGCAGGCCGGAACAAGCTCGATGAAGTTCGCGGCCATATACTTGGATGCGATCCCCTTCAACTAGGGCAGCATTCACCAAGATTCCCCGCGAAGAAAGCTAAAGACTTGTCATTATCGATAACTGCACCCCGTTAGTCGAGCTTTAAGCCTTGGTCTTCAATAGTACTCCACACTCCGCCATTCTGTGGCGAGCCACTTACGCCACGTGATTTTTGTCACAAACTCGTAACAAGTGTTGAAAGCTCCACATTAAACCAACAAATAAGTCTTTGACCAAATCTTCCATTGCTAAAAGGTTTAGCTTCAAACTTAAAATCCGCAACAGTTCAACCGTCCTCTACTCGGACCATCCCCAAATGAGGAGACTCAATCAAGAGTTTAGATGGAACACTTGATTAAACTGCTTGGGTCAACTCAGCTCTCTTATGGCCAATCAACCTCTTATGTCTGCTAAGATTACATCTCTAAGGCACTCGCTAGATTTGCTTCTTTTAGCCCATAGATTATTGATTCAAGTGCCACAGATCACATGACCGGAGGTTCTCATTCGCCTCCGAGCTAGATATGATTAAAATTACTAATAGCTCGTGTAATTCCTTTGCGGGTAAAAGGTCAGTTATACCTACAACCGGGCTGACTTTGGAACCCATGTTACATTTTCCTTTACTTAAGTGCAACCTATTGTGGGTCAGTAAGTTAACTTAAGATCTGGATTGCGTTGCTCTTTTTTTCCCTGATGTTTGTGTCTTTCAGGATCTTCGTTTGGGGAGGATGATTAAAACTACTAAGCGGATAACCAGGCTCTATATTTTTCAAGAAAATGATAGAGGTAACAACAACACTATGCAGGTTGTCTCCCATCCATTACAGAAGCTGCTTTGGCTGACTTGTCCTGGAATGCTGCTGTCATGGACTAGATGAATGCTTTTGGACGCAACCATACTTGGGATTTGGTCGATCTTTTCCGAGGGAAAAAAACAGTGGGGTGTCGGTGGATCTTCAACACCGAGTTTAACTCCTATGGTTCTTTTGAATGCAACAAGGCGTGGTTGGTCGCCAATGGATATTTTCAAATTTATGGAATGTACAATGAAGGGATATTTGCACCGATTGCCAAACTCAATACCATTTATGCCTTATTATTAGTAGCCGTGAATCTGGATTGACCCTTACTTCAGCTAGACGTCAAGTATGCTTTCCTTTATAGTGATCTTGTTGAGGAGGTTTATTTGTCTCTTCTCCCAGCATTTGACTCGATTTCTTCCCATGGACAAGTGTGTCAATTGAGAAAGTTCTTTTATGGGCTGAAGCAATCCCCGCGGGCCTGTTTTGGCAAGTTTTCGTTGGTGGTAGTGGGCCATAGGTTCTCTCAGGTCTAATCTGATTATACCCTATTTTTTCGGTATTTATCCAGTGGTCGTATTGCCATCCTCATCATTTATATATCTATGTCGAAGACATTACACTCATAGGTAATGACCTGCTAGCCTTAGAGTCACTAAAATGCATCCTCGCCACATCTTTTGAATTGAAAGACTTGGGGTCTTTCCGGTATTTCTTAGAAATGGAAGTAGCTTGGTACGCTTGGGCCATTTTGCCTGTCCCAATGCAAATATGTGTTGGATCTATTGACCGAGACCAACCTTCTCCTTTTCAAATTGGTTGCTATCCCAATGGACCCAAATGAAAACTTATTGCATGTTCCCAATCCGTTCTAGTGAAAAAATCCTACTACTAACACCTAAACTCATCTATCTCACTTTTACTCGCCCAGACATTTTTCACGTTGTGGGTTTTTTCGTCAGTTATGCATGACCACTACGAACACCATCTCAATGCAATTCATCGGATCCATCACTATTTAATAGGAGCACAAGGCCCAGGTTGTTATTCACTCCTCACAACTCCCGCTCTGTTGTGGTTTATACAGATGCTGATTAGGCTGGATCTGTCCATGATAGACTATCTACCTCAGGTTATTGCTCCTTCGTATAAGGGAGTCTTATCACTTGGAAAAGTAAAAAAACAATCACTAGTTGCTTGTAGTAGTGCTGAAGTCGAGGTTCACTCTATGGCTTTGGGGTTGTGTGAAGCCATCTGGTTGCGCATTATTCTCACTGAGTTACGTATGTCAGTTACTGCTCTTTTGCAGCTATTTTGTGACTATAAAACCACCATTAGCATTGCTTATATTCCGGTCCAACATGATCGTACCAAGCATGTGGAGATTGAGTGTCACTTTATCAATGATAAACTTGATTAAGGGGAGATCTGTGTTTCGTTTGTTATCTGCTGGATAATTGGTTGATATTCTCACAAAGAATATTTACCGCTCGTTGTTTGATGACTTTAAGTCCAAGTTGACATGATTGACATATATACTTTAACTTGATGGGGAGTGTTCAAAGTTATCAGTGTCTGTTTCTTTCATTTCCATATATTTTCTATTTTATGTATTTCCTTGTTCATGTATTTCGTAGTTTATGTAGTTCCTTATTTATGTATTTCTTAGTTTATGATTTTCCTTTTATCTCTAGGTAGTTATTAGGAATTAATTTAATCCTAAAAATTTGGATGTTATGTCTTTTCTATTTTATAACTCTTTTATCATGTATTTATACCCCTTTTGATATCAATAAAATCATCCTGCTAAATTCCAACAATATTCAACAAGTTAGTAGATGTTCTAATTATGAGTGTATAGCATGTTATTGTAATGACAATAAATTTTTATTGGTTAACCTATCAATTTTACTTACAAGTTCTATGTTTTGTTGCAGTGATGAATAATGTTAAATGCATTACTATATTATTTTTTAAATGTTTTTGGTCTGTTTAATTAAAGGTAATATTAAAAAAAGTTTAGGACTGGAAAAATTGATGTTAATTTGATTTTCTTTTTTCTTGTTTAAGTAATTTTTTGACCTATATAAAGTTTACAATTTAATTGATGGTAGATCTTAGTGTATGATTTCATGGATTAAGAGGTTTAAAAAAGAAAAGGAGTGGCAAAAGTGATTGAATTTAGGCTGGTTTCTCCAAAACTAAATAAAGTATATCTGGAGAGGGTGGAAGTAGCATAACCAACATGAAACACATGGAATGACCATTTTCAGATGGGACAATTTTGATACCGAGCCTAAATGGCTGTTTTTAATCGGTTTTGTAGACTTCTAAAACGTTGATCTTAGTGTTCCATCTCATTTTTCTTATTGTAGTTTTTCTCCTCTTTCTTCTCATTAGTTATCCCCTCTAAAATTCTGCAGTTTTTTTCCCCCCCTTAAGCTTTAGTTATGTTTATTTCTATACTCAGAATTAGTTTGAATTCCATTAATTAAATCTTTTGGTTATTTTTAGTGTGAAGATGCCTTATTTTGGCAATCAATTTATTCTTTTTCTGAATCCTGTTTTCTATTGTAGTTGAGTCAAGAAAAGTTTCAATGGGATCGAGACAATTAGACTTCATAAAATCTTTCCAAATCAGCATTCAGTCTATTCTCACTGCAGTGTCCAAGGAGGTGATGATAGATTCATTTGCTTGGAAAGTCTTAACTTTGTTTTTGATTTCTCCCCTGCAAATTGAAAATTTTCATCTTGCATGGAGTTAGTTTATTTTTTGGAGTATTTACATACGTAGCACCCAAATCTTATGCATTCACTTATCTCACACCCTAACGTTTATTTTTACACCCAAAGCACTCTTCCTTATGCATGAAAATGTGGAAGTAGTGTAATCCAACTTTTGATATATAGGGAAGGATGCATAGGTTGTAAAAATTAAAGTTTGGGCGTGAGATAAGTAAATGCATAAGAATCGGGTGCTGCATATGTAAATTTTCCTTATTTTTTTATAATTGGCACAATTTGCTTGAAATGCACCCTTGCTTTACTTATGAAAAATATTTCAATCTACAATATGTTTTTTGTGGGAAAAACAAATTAGCATTTTCTACCGTGCAACTCCACCCCACAATATCTGCATAGCCTTTAAGAATGCACTTACGGAGCTGTTTTTAAAACACTTTGAGATAATGAAGTCAATAAAATTACCAAAGCAAAGCCCCAAACAGAAAATATCATTTGATATCAGCAAATCAGACATTCTATTTCTTGGCTGTTGTCATGAGAAAAATTTTCAATAATCCTTAAGATCTTTTCTGGATTGTTTTCTACTCATCCCTATAAAATTGGAAAATGTTGAAATTCTGAACATTCTAAATATCTTCCACATCTAGTTTACTCCACTGCCAAATTCAGAGAGAACTTAAACACCCATGGTTACAACTGTTGTTTTAATTTTCATGTTTGTTTTTACTTATGGTATTATTTATTTTTGAATCCTTCAACTATCTACTTGCAACATTTGAATTATCTGTTGTCAGGCTGCAAAATAATGATAAGAATGATATTAATAGTATTTCTGATTTTCAACAGGATATGTATGCGGAATTTTCAATGTTTTCTAAGGCTGAGAAGGAGAGTTTGTATCACTTGCTCGTTCAGGTGAATAATTTTTTTCGTGCATGTAATTTGTGTTGCACGATTGGGCAGTCATAATCGATTTTGACATAAAATCATTGGAAGATTTACATATACCACTTAATTCTTATGCATTGTGTAACACGTAAACTTCAATTTCTACATGCATACCACCTTACCTATGCTTGAAAAGATGTATTTCTCTTTTTAAAGGTTAAAATAGTGGTATTTTTTGATGTGATCTAAAAGATTTGGGTGGTATAAATGTAACAAAATTAAAGCTTAGGTTTTAGATATATAAACACATTGGAATTCAGTGGTATGTATGTAGAGTTCAGAACCCTTATGAATTCACCTTTAGTTCGTAAGAATACTATGCAAGCCTGTTCTTCAACCAATAACTACAAAACCTCAGCATAGTCTTTTGCAGTGAAAACCTTCTTATATTCTATTAGTCAGTATTGGACAGGCTTGATTCTATTTTAGGTATGTCAACACACATTATGTGCTTACTTATGCTGATTCATATTGTTGTTTCCCTGAAAATCTTATGAGTTTCTAATCGCATATTTTCTTGTTAATTTATCTTAATTTTCAGGTTTCCAAAGCTTTGCATCAAAATATAGCGGTATGAAGCATCAGCTTTATATTCTTATAAATCATCTTCTTCAATTTTTTCTCTGTTTAAAAGGATACCTATCAACATTTTTTTATTTTATTTTTTTGTTGTAAACATTATGGTTTAGAATGTTGGGGTGGAAAAAGTGTATCGATCAATTCACAACTAAATCACTGAAGAAAAACACATTAATTTGAGAGTTTCAAAATAAAAACTGAACAGAAGCTCACAACACAAGAATTCTAGAAAAATACACAAGATTTAATATGAAAAAATATGGGAACAAGAAAAAACCATGGAGCCATACCACTAAAAATTTAACTATGAAATGAGGAGAAATATATATAGTAAATCACACTAAGAGTTCCTCTCTACAATCCTAGAACTCATGAACATTCCTCCTCTCGCCATCACACAAGAGCAAACCGTAGAAATCCAATACAGAAGTCGCTGCTCTGTTTCGTTCTGTCTTGCTCTTGTTACACACACTACCGAGAGATTCCTTCCTCATATAGAAGTCAAGGACTTAAATCATGATCGAAAGAGAAATCACTTCAAGCACTGGAGCACCACTCTTGGGAGCTGCCTTTCCACACACTTTGTTGAGAGTCGTTCTTCTATGCACTAAATCGCCCGTTATGAGCATTGAGGTTTTGGTGCCTTTGTTTCCGAACAGGAAACGAATATACCACGACGCAACTGCACCCCTTTTTGGCGT